AAAAAAAAGGTGATTTTTAAAATGGTATGTTGGCACCACATCAAAAACTAAGAGGGAGATGGCTTTTCACCCACATCCTGTCCATCATGTGTCAATCAAGAAGAAAGACTGAGACAGCACATACTTCAATGTCAGTCCCAGTAGCAAAAAAACCAGCCATGAAAACATTTCATCTTCATGTAACTTCTGTGTTTTTTATAGTTAGTAGTAACCGAAGTCTGGCTGTTTGGGAATGCTATTTACATAATCATACACCCATTACACTGAGTGAAATTAAAACTGGAGAGCTGACAGAGAACTTCTTTGGACAAACATTTCTACTGGCTTGTGCAGAAGCTGTTTCATCTTATCCTTCTACTCAGCTTCCCTTATGTCCTCTTGATCTGAAGCACTTGAGATGTCATCATCTGATTGCTCTCCAGAGAAGTACAACATTGAAGCATGTGTCTTGTGCGTTATGGTGACGGTGCAGGGCCCTTGGGCCCACGGTTCCCCATCCACCTGCATTGGCATCATTGAGCACTTCAAAATGAGCTGAAATCAGGAAATAGAAAAGTAAGTGCTAGAAAGTACAGACAGGTGTTCCTAGTTAATATCACTCATGACTTGTAACCTACATTTTATTTTAAATATTTTTATTTGTGTATATGTGTGTGGGCCATGTAGAGGTCTGAGAACAACTTTTAGAAGTCTGTTCTCTCCTGTTACCATGTGGGTTCTGAAGATTGAACTCAGGTTGTCAGGTGGCTGCAGCACCTTTACCCAACTGAGCCGTCTCACCAACTCACACCTACATTTTATTTTGTTATTACTTTTATGTGTATGGCTGTATTGCTTCCATGTATGTAAGTGTACCTGTGTCATGCAATGCCCATAGACGTCAGAAGAGGGTGCCAGATTCCTTGGAACTGGAGTTCTAGACAGTTGTTAGCTGCCATGTGGATGCTGGGAATGTAAACTGGGTCCTCTCCAAGAGAAGACAGTGGTCTTAACCCCTGAGCCCTTTTTCCAGGCCCTCAGCCCCCTCGTACCATTTTACTTTTGAAAAGTAATCTGAACCTATGTTTATATGTGGACTGTTTAAGGATTCTTTTTCAGTGGGCACTTTGTTTCTTTAACTGGCCTTAGTGCCATCTTTCCTGTTTCTTTTCTAGCCACCATATCCCTGGTATGGGCTATAAACAGTCTGGAGAAAGCAACAGCATACATAGTCTTCTCAACATCAATGGCTTAGAAATGGCCTGGCATGGCACTGTCACTTACCCGCACTGTATGTGCTTGTCCTATTCGAAACGGGTTAGCCAGTTTCACCTGGATCTGAGCACAGTGGAAAGACCCATATACTCCAACGACTTCCAGCAACCCATCATCATGCCTAACATTGGAAGAAGGAAATAGGGATGACGGGATGCAAACAAATCAAGTCAGCCAAGAAGAGCTATTGCTCTTTAATGCAGGCAGGCCATCAACTTCATGTTCACACTGACATAACAGAAGTGAAAGTCTGAGGAAAACACAGGAAAACACATGGAGTCTACTAAAGAAAAGAGAACACTTTAAAGAAAAATGACAAAAACAGACTGCAGATCGTGCTGACTTATAACTAGAATCTAGCACTAGGGAGACTGAAGCAGGACACAGTTTAAGGTCAAGCGGGTTTACACAGTGAGACCTCGTTCCAACACAAAACAAAACAAGACAAAACAGAAAATAAAACAAAACATCCCGAACCAAGCAGCTGATGGACTGGATTACAAGTGCACATACCTGGCGAGAGGGTAGGTCTCATCTCCCATCCCTTCCCACAGCCTGCAGCCGCCGCCCCAGTATCCTATGTTCAGAACGATAATACCTTCCAGATTAGGAAGCTCAACTCGCTCACCATCCAGTTCTAGCTTTAAAGAAATGTAAGTAGTTAGTTACTACAGGGCACAGTATTTTCACACCTGTCTTCTTAGAACTCACACTTTAACATGCATAGTTACAGATGTGGAAGATGCATTAGGACGAAATGACTTCCTATTTCTCACTCAAAGTAACCCACCTTTCCTTTTCTTCATTCAGTGGAAGTAATTTATTTCTGGTGTGTGTGTGTGTGTGTGTGTGTGTGTGTGTGTGTGTGTGT